GAGGTTTAGGTAGGGAGGGAATTATAGAGGTTACCCTAGCCCTAGATAAGGTTTCAATTGCCCCCCAGGTAGAAATAATATACTCCCGACCCCAGGAAATGAAACCCAAATTGTGCGTAATAAACCGTGGCAAACATTTTTGCAGAATAGTCAGAATTTTGTGGAAAATATGCAAAGGGACGGAGGCTTAGCGGTTTTTGCTTAAAACTTTAAACCATCTAAAAATTAAAGGCACACTCACAATCTACTGTTGAACACACATGTGGTCTTTGCGGATGTACCTTATCAGTTGTGACTCCAATCAATTTCTTAACCTTCTCAATAAAAATTTTCTATATTTCATTCATTAAATGGCATTTTCACTGCTCTACCTCTGCCGATAACCCACATATAGTCCTATCATTCACTGAGTCACTTAGTAGCCGCACATAATCACTCACCTTGATTTTACTTTTGTTTCTAATCCTACGATATAGAAACTTGTACATGGCACAGCAACAGGGCAGGAGCAGCAGGGGCAGACGAAGAAAAACACAGAAAACGCTTTATACGAGGTACTGTTCCTCTTTTTGTATATCTGTACACTTTTTGGATATTTGAACACGTTCTATCACAGACTCACACTCACGGAAATAATAATTTAGCAAACGAAAATAATAACAATTTTACAGTCGTTGAGCACCAACTTTAACGCTCAGCGTGGGTTGGTGGATGTGGGCATAGAATCGACGAGCGTCCCGTGAAACGTCATTAATGACTAAGAGAGGAAAACGGGTCGCGAGATATGTGTTATGAGAGAGCGGGACGGGACAGTAGCGAGTTTCATTGCATTTTGCATGCGTTTCACGCACAGGAGCGTATTTTCTCAAGAGCAGGTAGTCAGACAGAACCAAATAGGGCCGGCTGTATGTGGTATAGAACTATAAATGATATTGGTACTACAAAGATTAGGACTTTCGAAATCCTTTGCAGATGTGGTGTTCCAAAAAAGCCGATCCGCTGCTGTTGTTCGGCTTCCACTTACGCTGCACATATATTGGTGGCCCAACTATTCCCCCTCGATTACGCCCCTGGTCATCGGTGTCTCTGCAGCAGTTACTTGTTCTCAGGCTTCGAATTAAGAGAGCGAGCAACAGCTCCCACATTGTTATTGGCAAGCACCAAAGCAAATACAAAGCGCAAATGGCAAAAATAGCCATACAACAAATGTCATCCCAAAAAGTTTACGAGAACGGCACTATTTTTGTTGCCTTTTGCGATGTGACCAGCAGAATGCCAATGAGGAAATGTCAAGACAAGTATTAAATAAAAAGAAAAGACGAGCTAGAACCCATGAAAGAACAATAAGAATAGGCCTGCCCGCAAGTGCTGAACGGTACGCTGTAACAATCTAGCCGTTGTCGAGCCAGCAAATGCCTGCGCTGTATATAGTAATGGTATAAAAACAACAAAAAACTCTCAGCAACACATACATTTCCGTGTTCGTGGCATTATGATTGCTTAGTTACACTTTTTAGCCTATTTAAAGCAAACATTTTTTGGGCAGCTCTGATTGTCCACTCACCTGTATTTCCAATAAAAGTTCCTGCTTCTTGCGTCGCAGCTCTATCAGTAGCTTATGCTGCTCTGGCGTTAGTTCTGCAACAAAAGAAAGAGACGTGGCCACTTTTTTTGTTAATTGGAACGCAGCAGAAGCATAGCAGCAGTAACAGCAACAAAAACAACACATTTCAGCAGCACGCACCCACACACACAGCCACAGAAACACACGAACGCACTCACGCATACCCTATTCATTTTGGCTGCATCTGATGCCTGCCTGCGCAGAAGCGAGATGGCAATGAGACGGCTTGTGACGTAGGAACTCTGGTCTTCGTCAATCAATAAACTTTTTTGCTGCCCCTCTTCTTTCACGCACAATGGGCAACTAATTGTTTAAATTTAATTATTAGCTATAATTTAGCATTGAGGATTATAATTATTAATTCAATTAAAGGCCAGCGTAAATGAGAACACACGCAACACCAACAGAGAGAGGGAGAAACACATACACACACAGATAGTACACGGAGAACGCGCACACGTAGATTGCTTGTTGCTTCATTAAATGTTTAGTGCGGGACTCGCCCCATTCCATTTTCATGCATTTTGTGTAGGCATTTTTCCACTTATTTCATACAATTTCACTGGGAATTTTTGCTCTGGTTTTGCTTGCGTTTCGTTTCGTTTACCTGGCATTGAGAATTCACTGCGCCCCTTTGAAACGGCACCATACGATCTGTTGTCGAAATTGTCCATGGCACTGATCATTGTGGCGGTCCACAATAATCACGCACACTGAGAAGTACGACAACACAACTATTTAAACATAATTTGACTGAAGTTATTCCAGTTTCCTATAATTTTCATTGATTAATCACAATGATTTGAGAATAAACAAAAAGACAACACCAAAAATTTCTATCGCCATTTTCTTTAAGGGATGGACTACTACCGATATCTCGGCCATCGATGTATCGCAGGGCTGGAAAGCAAGAAACTAGGTGGCAGCACTCGTCAAAGACATGTTCTTTATAGGCACATCGATATGAATTTGCAGACTGACAATAGCTAGATTGCGTTATTTTGATGAGTATGTGCTTTAATAAACTATTTTTAGTGGAAGAAAAACTAGGGTGACCATTTAAGATATATTATTACATATTATTAAAAATATATGTATATATTATTATATAATTTATATATATGTATGTCCGAGCTCCCATACGCATGTTTTTTATTTCTTTCTCACAAGATGGGAATATTAATCGCAGCAATGAGGGTTTATCAAATCACCACTAACGTTGAATTCCATTACTACGTACTTTACCGTTTGCAACATAATTTGTATGGGCAGCATGTTGCGCAAAGTGAGAAACATGCTGCAAAAAGTGATCAGCACTGTTCCCCAAGAATTTGGAACGGAGTAAGGGACAATCTCCAATCTCCACAGGCTCCAATCAATGCAATAACAAGTCAATCTGTTGGAAATTTATCTCAGCGAAAATTTGTAGATTAAATATATCGAGAGTGTATCTAGATCGATATATACATACATATGTACATATGTATATACATAGAAAGCATATGAAAATGTTAAAAACATATCAGTCTAAGATAAAGGCATTAATAGTGGTTAAGAGCAGCTTTGAAAACTATATGTTGTGAGGGGGCTCTCCAAGCAATATTTTGATATTTCAATGGATTTTTAAGATATATTTTTCACACATGTTTATAAATGTATTTTAAAAATATTTCTATGGTGGGTACGATAGTTTATCGATAGTTAATATTTGTAACTCGATAGCTTAAACTCCAAACTTAAACTACTTAACAATGTAAATATTAATTTATGGAAATAGGGTATACAATGCCCATACTATAGGTATAGCAGCATTGAAAAGCAGCAAATTGACAAATACGTAGCAATCCATTCCAACTCACGCAACGTTTTATGCTATTTTTGCTGCTTACCCCTTTTAGATTTAAACTTAATTTGTAAACATTCCAACAAAAGGTAGTCGTACAAACTAGCCAATCTTGTGGAGAATTGATTGATAAATCGGATAAAAGTACATTTTAAGCTCGTAGACTTCTAACTAGCTAGTAATATCAAATATAACATCAAAATAGAGGAAAAATTATTTAAGATGTACGGTATATTTACAATATATTTTTAAAAAATGCAAGGTTAATTTCGGTATATTTTCGAGTGTCTGTCGGTATACTTTATCGATAATTCCGCGGTCACTCTGCGTAAAACTCTCAAGCGGTGGCAGCACTGCAACCCAGTATTGCCAACTTGGCTCTTTTCCCACTAGATCTAGCGTTTTTCTATAGCCAATGTGGGAAAAATTGCAAAATAGCGGATTGCGGGAATTATAGCTATTTTCCAAAATATTTTTGTGTTATTTTAGATTTTTTAAAAGATCTGGCAACTTCAGGTATTTTGATGCTTTATGGTGCCACACATTAGTACTTTGTGGTATTGTTTCCCTGGGACCGGCAAAAGGAGAACGATAATTCAAAAGATCTTTTAGTTAAATCGAGTTTTTTATATCATTGAAGAAATATTTCCGAATTTTTTTTAATCGATCGCCGGTATAAGGTGAAAATGCCTAAGATGTATGTATGTATAAACAGAAACCGAATCATGTCTTGATGCAAGACCCCGCATACAAAGATTGGGGATTTTAATTCATTGATGCTTGTGATATTAGAAGGTGTGGTTCTAATTTCTGGAAAATTTGTCGTATTGGCATTTGCCATTTAAGTAGAAGTAGTACTAAAACTGAGATTCCTCGAGCTATAAACGCTTGTTAAGCTTGTTAAAATAAATGTCATGTGATGACTGAAGGAAAATTTTCAAATTAAAAAATGTAAGTTATAGAAGTGAAAAAAAGTTAAGTGTTTTTCTATGAATTGAGTTAATTCTTTACTTTTTAACGCTAACGCAACTATTTTTTTTAGTTTATGAGATCTTTATGGAAATTAGAACCGCACCAGGAACAAAGTGGTTTTTCGAGATTCTGCTGTATTGTAAATCTTACATTAATGCAGAACATAGCGATTTGCACGCACATGCCACGACAGCCAAACATAAATAATTTGAAAAAACGAACAAAATACCCTCAGTTGCATCAGTCTCTGTGTCATATTTATAGATACGTACTACGCCGGGTAGATAAACGTTGTCATAATTATGAAGTGCGACCAGAATGCCCAAAGAAGATATGGGATCAATCTGACTTATGTACTTAAGTTCAGCTGCAGAAGCCGATATATTTGACGAACTTGATAAGTTCTCAAAAGTACTAGATTTGATCAATAAAAATAACGTTTCAACACTCCAGCGTTCTTTAAGCTGTCATAAAAATGTTCTGGCTTTTTCTATCTTTTTACATAGATAGTTTAGCTTTTTTATGACCCGAAGTGTTGGCAACACTGCTGCGAACATCTGTGCTCTGTGCATCGATAACTTCATACTTTTTTATGAACAGAATATTTCTGGAAATTTCGACTTGCAAGAGAGCCGCGCCGGAATCGCGCCAACAAAACGTCGTTAAAGAAGCCACCGAAACCACTGCCGGATCCAGGGACGAGCTAATTCCATTTCCCTTTCATACAGCAGCAGCAACAGCCAGCAGCAAATCGCCGAAGCATCAACGATGGCCAAATGGGGAGAAGGAGACCCGCGTTGGATCGTCGAGGAGCGCCCTGACGCCACCAATGTGAACAACTGGCATTGGACCGAAAAGAATGCGACGCCCTGGTCCAAGGAAAGATTGCATCAGTTGTTCAAGGACTTTAAAATAGGCAAGTCATTGGGGGTCGTATTACAACAAGAAAATTCTAACCTAAAACAACTCTGACCGTGTGGTTGTGTGTGCGTTTCTGTGTGTGCTTTCCAAAGCAGAGCATAGCGACACCGAGTGCTTGATCGAGGCGGTGGACAAGTGCCAGGGCGAGGCGACCGTCAACAATCGTAAGGGCAAGCTCATATTCTTCTACGATTGGGAGCTGGTGCTTAAGTGGTCCGGCCTGCTGCTCAAAAACAGCAAACTCTCGCACAAAGGGAAACTCACCATACCGAATTTGTCGGAGGAGAACGACCTGGAGGATGTGGAGATCACTGTGACCATCGACGAGTCCAACGACGAGTCGGAGAATCTTAAGCAATTCATGTACAATGTTGGGCGGGAGAGCATTCGCAAGCAGTTGGGCGTCTACATCAAGGAGCTGAAGGAGGAGTACTCCAAAAACTTGATTCTACCAAAGAAGGGCGATGAGGGCGGTAACTCCTACAACAGTGCCAGCTTGAAGGATTCCAACAATGCCAAGAATGCGGCCCAAAAGGCAGCTGCCTCGGTCTCCACAGCCAAGGGCCACAACTCGAAGGTTGGCTGCAAACTGGACGTTCGCACCCTTTCGATGACCGAGGAGTTCCACTGCAACGCCAATGATCTGTACAGTGCCCTTACCAAACCCGATATGGTATCCGCCTTTACACGGGCACCCGCCAAAGTCGATCCAGTGCGCGGTGGAGAGTAAGTTTTGCCAATCTCCCGATGATGTACTCTCCTGACGGAGTTTCCTTCTCTCCTCTTGCAGATTTGTTCTCTATGGCGGCAATGTTTTGGGAAAATTCGAGGAGCTCATCCCGGAGAAAAAGATACAGCAGAGTTGGCGTCTAAAAAACTGGTCCTCTGGTCACTACTCGAATGTGCTCATAGAGCTTGAGGAGACTGTAAGTTGGACACAGAGATTTGGCATTAATTTCCGGGTATTATTTATATTTTTCCCGTACCCTTTTGCAGTCTTCCAGCACCGTGATGACGCTCAAGCAGACCGGCATTCCCGCCTCCGAGTACGATGCTATGAAGACCAATTGGCATCGATACTACTGGCATAGCATCAAGCAGACCTTTGGCTTTGGCACCTCCATTGCAGATTCTTTATAAGCAGGAGAACGCGATCCCTTTCGAGGAGGCGGGAAAGTACTGACTTAGGTTGGGACTACTTTTTGTAACTGACAGTAACTGAGCTGCTCGAAATTCATTCATTTCTGCTATAATTTCTGTTGATCTTTCAAACAATTCTTTAAATCGAAAATTACCGATCTTCAGAAGCAGCTACAGTGAAACCAAACTACATACTAAAAACTAAACCACAACAAAACAACTTTCACGCTTTTTCACACACACACACACATTGAAGAAATTCAAAGTTCAATAAAATAACGAAATCTGAAAATAAATAAATTGATATTTTCATTTAGTTAGAAGCTTCCATAACGATATCTGTAATTACCATAATCCTAATTTGTTTCAAAGGATAATTCAAAAAAATATTAAATGAACAATAATCCTATTGTTAGTATTAATTTAAGTGGATAGTTGGGACCCCCACTCGTAAACCCCAGCTAGACGAAAAGTGTGGAGTTCGGGAATGACAATAAGCATCGGTGGTTCAGTGGTAGAATGCTCGCCTGCCACGCGGGCGGCCCGGGTTCGATTCCCGGCCGATGCAGTACAACTTTTTTTGTCAATTCTATATTTTCGGAAGATCAAGTAGGGGTATACCAAAGACAATATAATATCAAGATGAGTAAGATACGAATTTTTCTGCCTGCGTCTAGCGCAGGATCTCGACAGATGTATGTATGTGTGCACAAGAGTTCTGGATCTGCTTGCATGGATACTTTTTTTAAAGTGCTTCGAAACATACCATTGATTTTATAAGTCTATGCACCCCAATACTAGAAAACCCCATATTTAGTATATCCTTTATTTGAAAGCTATTTGTTTGTATTATAGAATATATTCGATATACAACATACATACAGTTGTGTTTAATGAAATAGTAGTGCCGCGCCTCACAATTTTCAGCACTATTTTTGACACCCTTCCATCTTTCGAATTGAACAAGTGATACCTTTTTGGACAGCCTCAACTGTAGACATTAGAACCCAGAAAGAATCCTGGAACATTTGCATCCCATCTTCTTGTTTTACATGACTTTAGAAAAATGCCCATGCTGTTCAATAAAATAGTCGTTTTTTTTAGAATTTTGAAATAAAAAACGAAACTGGAATTAATGCATATGTTTCATGTTCTATATGTTTCTTGAGGTTTAATATGTAGTTTTTAATCAAATTTGTTTCCACTATGGCCTTACTCCCACCTGGCATGTGTAAATAAGGTACTGCCCAAGCTTAAATAGGATCTGAGACTATTATTCCTAAACCACTTGGCAAAACTGTGCTCTAGTTGACGGAATTGTAATCGTAATAACACATTTCACATTTTACAATAAGATTTCGTTGGGATTTTGGTCTAGAGACTGAGCAAGACATATAAAAGTGTCGACCTTTTCGGATAAAATTCCATTCCTAGCGAGCTTTCTAGCGTGTTTCAGATCATTATCTTGTTGAAAGATCCTTTTGAGATTATTTATTTATATAGTTTTCAATAGTTATATTAATTTATTGTATTAAAAAGTTTTCTGTCACACACCACTTTATGAAATACGTCAGTGCCTGGCTAGAAAGTACGAGTTTATATGGGCTGTAGCTCATAAGGGTCAATCCAACATGCCCAATGTTGTTTTTTCCAAGAATTTGGGCAGCTATAAGATATCAGTGAACGCCAAACATATTCTTTCGAACGTTTTCATAACTTTTGAGTACCTTGGTCTTGCCTTCAACCATCTTCGACCATCTACTAAGGACATTTTTTTCGCTTAAAAAATCATTTTTCAGGGTGCTTCTTTTAGTTTAAACTATTAAATATAACAGTAAAAGCACAAACAAATTAGTTTTGAATTCGATTATTCCTCCTGATTTTCGTTTTTAGTCTAATTCTTAAATCTCCCATATTGGACCGTTTAATGATTACTTCTACGCTCCAAAAACAAAAGTACCGTTACATTCAAACATTTCTTTCATCAAAATATTCAATATATTAATTAAGCTTACTGATGGAAGCTTTTTTGAGTTGATTTAATTTGTTTTTAAATTTTGTTTTATTACTTGCACCCAGCACTACTATTTTATTGAACAGCAGTTGCCATGGGTATTTTTTAAAAGTCATGTAAAACAAGAAGATGGAATGCAACGGCTCCAGGATTCTTTCTGAGTTTTTGACTATATTGAAAAAAGAAGAGTTGCGAGCATTCTACCACCGATGCTTCGGTAAATTCTGCTTCATAATGTTTGACCTTGAACTTTAAACTTAAAACTTTTTTTTATAGATAGAGTAGAGAGTTGTGGCTGTGGACTAAAATTAGCAGGAGCTAAGGTATGACCATAGACAAAATAATAATAGGATGGACAACGCTCACATGTACATACATTGAATTTGTAGACTGCAAGCAAAATTTCGACGAGCGACTATAAGCCAAAAAACCCTCCCTGTGACGGTCGCTAACACATTATAGCTTAGAAATAAAAAAATAGAATGCTCTTGCATGTGTGAATACGCAGGAGCCAAGCAGTCAATTTTCGAGACGAATATATTTTCATGCAATTTCTTCTTCAAAAAATATTTTCCAAATTGACTAGTTGGCATGACGCACGCTGAATACCCTACTCTACTGACATTTAATCGAAGGTGAAATCATTTATGAAATATTTTACGTACAGATACCCTACAGATACAGTTGTGTTAAATGAAATAGTAGTACCGCGCCTCACAATTTTCAGCACTATTTTGGACACCCTTCCAGTCTTTCTTTCAAAAAGGTATCACTGTTCAACTCGAAAGACTGGAAGGGTGTCCAAAATAGTGCTGAAAATTGTGAGTCGCGTAAAGCAGCTTTTTTTATTTTTTGCACAGTCTCTCATTCCTTAATCGGCTTCGTGCAGTGTGAGGCTCTAGGGGAAGGGCCGAGCTTTGTACCGGGTATAAAAGTTGTGACGCGTTAGAGCGACAACACGTCCCTTCTCGTTTTAGATTATTTATTTAAATGTTTATGAGTAGAAAGATCATCTTATTTATTTTCATGTGTGGCCACATGTCGCTGATACTCCAGGTAGCTGTTGGTATTGTAAATTTCCTTCGCTCTCTGTTCCGAGCACTTTTTGCATTCGTACATGAATTTCCCGGGATGCTTGCGAGTTTTCATCACGTGTTTGCGTAGATTGTCGATGTTTTTGCAACGGAAACTGCAGTGCGGACACTTGTGGCACTTCTCGACCGAGTGACTGATGGCGTGCCGTCGGAGTTTGTCCTTGCTACGGCCCCTGAACTCGCATTGATCACAAGGGTACCATTTATCCTGCTCCGTGCCATGGACCGACTTGAGATGCCTAAAACAGAGCGAGAGAGAGAGAGAAGAAACAGAACGTAAGAGCAAAGCCATATTTAAAATCTTAACGCTTGATTAGGCGGTAAATTCCAGTGGCGGCTTGTCCCGCCACCGCAGTCAGAACTAATTGCTAATTTCGCATTCGAATCGCAGGCTCGTAATCAAAATACAAGTAAGTTAGCAATTGCCAATTGTCTTTCGCCAGCAGGAGCCGTGCTAAAGCACAGTTCACCAATCCGGGGTGGACTTAGATGGCGATCAGTTTTTGTTCGGGCAAAGAGCGGGAAACAAATATTGGGAACTGGGGGAACGGATCGTACACGACTGTGTTGATGAGCTACGGTAGCGCTCTGAGCAAGTGTACTGCGAAAAAAGACATGGAAACTGAGGGAAAACATCTGAAGGCAAGAATACGGCCATATAGAAATTCTCATTGAGACTCCAGGCTGGCTCCACGCTTTCTACAAATTTTCTCTTAATAATGCAGGAGTTCCTTTCCGCTTACTGCAACAAATATGCCACATTTAAGAGTCTCTCAGTAGGCACACAGCCACACTCACACGGTTTCAGTTACGCGCCCTCAACTATGCCCCAATGCTGAAGCAACGAACTGTAGGACAGTAGGCTTCTCCAGTTGCTCCTCCTGCTCTCTGTGTGGGTGTGTGTGTGTCCACTTGGCTTATCAGCTACTGTCCAAACCGAGGACTCACAATTAATTGCCAATGTGTTTTTTGTTTCTGTTTTTTTTGCTATTGGAATCTGTGTGAAATCTCAAGCTTCGAATAAACAGAAAAACTTGAAGAGACGGAACGCGACTCATGCGCGAGTCCCCTCGGTAGGCTTAATTAGTGGCAAGTAATGGAGCCAGCAGGAGCAGAATCAGCCACCAGAAGCTGTAGAAGGCTTTCCCTGTACCTCCACTCTCTGTGTTGAGTGCCGCCGCCAAAAAGAATCCTCTCCAAACGAGGCCGGAGAGATACCTTTTTGGCTGCGCTTTGAAATTCCTGGATCAGCAGCCGGGGCCAACCTTTTGATAGCTAATTGAAGATCTCCAAAGGGAGTTAAGCGCATCACAGAGCCACATAGTTCTCTCTCTGGATTTGGAGAAGATTTATGCAGGCCTTGTTTTGGGCTGTTTTTTGGGTTGAGGTCAAACGTTCTTTGCGTATTTTTAATGAGGCACCACATTTTCTGGTGTTCTTTGAATGAATTCATTAACTTTTAGGGCAGATAAATGACGGAGAGAAATCAATATCCAAGGAAATCTTGAAGAGGAGATCAATAAGTATGGAAATATCTTTCTATAACATTCCTTTCTCGCATTCAACTATGAAATTTTGTTGTTGCATCCAGCCTTTCATGCATAAAGCCAAAGGTTAAGGTGATCAAGGGTATTAACCATTATCCACCCAACATTCAAATCTGTTGTCTGCACGGCAGAGTAAAAAAGAAGCCAAATGTCGTCCCCATCAAAGCAATCGAATCGACGACCAAGACGACGACGACGATTCTCCACGTCCAGTCGCCCCAATGCCACTTACAACTGTGTATCCAAACTCTTTTCTTTATTTTCTTTTTTGGTTGCTTTTTTTTTGCTCTTGTTGTTCTTCTTCTTTTGTGGCGGACAGCTGTAGACCAGTGGCTACTGCCTGCAGCCAACACAGTGGCACTACCCATTTTGTCGGCAATTCGGCCCTGAACTGATCGTCGGGATTCGAAGTGCAGCATTGGAAATATTGCAAGAATTCAATGCTCATATCAAAGGCGATCGATAAGTCACGATTCTGTATGGGGACGACTTCTCGAAAGACTGCTCCCACTCCCTACCACGGCTACTAACACAGCCACTACTACGTGCAACGCCCATTGGGGCATGCTCTGTCTCTGGACTGCTACACCATTGGGCTCTGCTCTTCGATTGCGTCTCTGACTGGATCTGCAAACTTGGACTTGGACGTGGACTGGCTGCTGCCTACCGCTCGTTTTTTTCGTCAATTTATGCAATTGCCGTTCAAAGTCTGCAATTATGGATGACATTTTTGCTCTTGTTGGCTGCCTTTTCGATTTTTCTTCTTTTTATACCCTGTACTCGAAGAGTAAATAGGGTATTTGTGCGACTAACGGTTGTATGTAACGCACAAAAGGAAATGTTTCCTTTTTTTTTTTTCTCTCTCTCTTTATATTTACAATCTGTTTGTTTAAACAATAAATTAACATTGACAATGTGTCGCAAAGTTTTTGATTGGTAACGCTGAAGTATCTCAATATTTGAGTTGCTAGCAGTCCCCCAGAGCTGTATAGCGTAGGTCCAAACAGGCTTCAGCATGGATTTGTAGAGGCGAATTTTGTTTTCCAAAGTGGTTTCTGATTTTCGACTTATCAACCAGGACATTTAAAGTGTTTTAAGTCTAAGTTGTTGACATTTTGCTTTAATGTGGTTTTCCCATGTTAATCTGCGGTCGAGATGCAAGCCGAGATACTTCACACAGGTACTTTGTGGAATTGGTGAGCCGTTAAGTGAAACATTTGGGCAGTTACCTGGTCTTAATGAATACCTTATTTGGACGGATTTCAGGGAGTTGATTCTAATTTTCAATCGAAGGAACCAGTCTTCAATTAGGCTTAGCTCACTCTGCAGGAGTTCGGAAGCTTCATTTATAGATGTGCTTGTGGCTAAAACGGCTGTATCATCAGCATATGTTGCAACAGTGCAGTTGTTTGTAACTGTAACTGTTTGTCGGCCGTATATAGGGTGTAGAGAATTGCTCCCAATACGGTTCCTTGTGGGACGCCTCCGTTGATGAGAAGTAGTGATGAAGTATCGGTTTTCTGCTGCACGTAAAAGCATATTTTAGCCATATATGATTTGATTAATAAATAGTACGGAGCAGGTAGCCATTTCTTTATCTTGTATAAAACAATTTTATCATTAATAACCCTGTGACATTGCTTAGGGGTCCCGTGACCCCTCCTGAATCCGAATTGGTATTCAGGAATGATGGAAAGTTCGTCCAAAATTGGCAACATTCTTTTCAATAGTATTTTTTCAAACACTTTCGAGAATATTGTCAACAGACTAATGGGATGGTATGATGTCAATTCCGTTTCTATTTTGTTTGGCTTTAGGATCATAACGATCTCTGCACATTTCCATTGACTTGGAAAGTGGTCTAGTCTGAGAATCGAGTGAGAAACCCAATGCATTTTGGTGGTAAACTTTTTAGGGTGATACCGTCTATTTTATCAGGGCCTGGTCCTTTTCTATTGTTCAAGCATTTGATTTCTGTCACAACTTCTTCATATTTGATGCTTTTAATAGGCAAGCTCATTTGGCAGGGTGACTCAAGGAATTTTTCTACTTCAGTCTCTGTTATATAATTATTTATATCGTTTGGCTGAAACACAGAGTGCAGATGTTGTGCAAATGCTTCCGTTTGTTCATTATTAGACCTACACCAAGTTCCGTTGCTTTTGCGAATATTTATGTTTTTTTTATCTGGTTTATCCCGGTACTCAAAGAGTAAATAGGGTATATTGTATTTGTGGGGAATAACTGTTGTATGTAACGCACAGAAGGAAACGTTTCCGACCCCATAAAGTATACATATTCTTGATCAGCATCAATAGCCGAGTCGATAGAGCCATGTCTGTCTGTCCGTCTTGTTTGTCGGCTCGGTCTCAGAGACTATAAGAGCTAGAGCCACCAAATTTTGCATCCAGACTGCTATATGCTCACACTGAAACCAGCGTATTTCAAAAATGAGCCACGCCCCCTTCCGCCCCCGCAAAAGGGCGAAAACCTCCCAAATCTACAGTTTTGAAGATAAAAGAAAACTAAAAGAAAACATTCCGTAGGAAATGGCCATATCTATCAGATCACCAAATTGGGATCCGATCGGATCATTATTATAGCCACAATGGAGAAATTAATTTCCAGTGGCTAAACCCACCCTGTCCCGCAGCTTTTGTTGCTCTTTTTACATTCTCTCATTCACACTCTGCTTCTGCTTCACTCGGCCCCTGCCTCTGCCCTCCCCCTGGCGTTGACTCTTCCGACTTTTAACCAAGACTCGGTTTTTAGCGCTAGATGGCGCCACTTTCGAAAAATTTGCTGTGAAACCTATCGGTCCAAGAATGTACCAATTTTATTGCTGTTTTAAATATCTCATAAATTGGAAAATATTAACTGATCCAATTTGTTTGATGCATTTTATTTAGTAGGCTTTTTCTACGTGTTCTGTAATGTGAACGATATCTAGTGGTTGGCGATGTCTTCTACATCAAAATGTAGTCCTGAGTGCCGGGTATAAAAGTTGTGACGCGTAAGAAGCGTCTCACACGTCCCTTCTCGTTTCTTTAGGTATTTAGTCGCCCTCCATAGGTTTTATTCATTGTTGCTGGAATTAGGGTCTAAGTTTCTCAGATAAGCAGCTAGAGATTCATTGCGTAAGTTCGACAGCAGTTGTCTAAGCTCAGATGCAGCCTTGTTGTACAATTTTTTGTCAGAAGGGTAGATTCCTTTTATTTTGTATTTTTTGTCGAAGTTCGGTTGAAAGGTACAATTGGTTTTGTTGTTGATGATTAAGAGCATGATTCGTGTTTCTGTAGCTCGCATTATGAATTGTATTTGTGAAAAGCTCTACAGCATAGGATATCTCCTCTCCTGTTTTTAATGAAATGTCCAGGCTTATAGCTGAGTCTAAATAGCTTTTAAATTCGTTAATGTATGTAGAGGCTGTTATTACTTTATAGGGCTTTTCCAATATATGGGCTATTGCGCTGTAAGTTGCTATTATTGGAGAATGATCTGAGTTAAGGTCAAAGCTCTCCATTACTCGCATGTGTGATTGTGGGATTCCAGAGAGTACTACGAAATCAATCAAATTTTTCGACTATCAGTAGGCCAGTATGTGGGCACACCAGTTGACAAAGTCGTTATGTTATTGTTTCGTATGCATTTGTATAACTCCGATCCCTTCGGGTTAGTTAATCTGGATCCCCACCATGGATGTTTGGCATTGAAGTCGCCTCCCACGATAAACTTTGTTCCCAGTCCTTGGAAAAAGTTTTGAAAATCGAGTTCTTTTATTGTGAATCTTGGTGGGAGATAAATCGCTGTTATTGATACATCTGAGTGCATACATTTTTTATGAATTGTGGCAGCCTGCATAGCGTTTTCCCTAATACTGTCCATGATTTTAAATTTAAGGCCCTGCTTGACAATAATTGCAGCATCTCCATGAGCTCTATCTGATGGATGGTCAGCTCTTATTGTGTCGTATCCAATCAATTTAACAAAAATTTGCTAGTGAAGTGTGTTTCTGAAATAAGCATGACGTCAATGGCATTCGTTTTTAAAAATAAAGCTATTTCATTTACATGGTTGAAAAGCCCATTGGCATTCCATATTCCTAAGTTTATTTATTTGCATAGCTTATTTACAAGTAACATTATCATGTTAAGTAAATTATTGGTAAGTTGAGATTGTTTTTCTAGAAGCTGTTCTATTCTTTCTAGAGACTTGTTCGAGGTACTATTTCCTGCAGCAACTTGAGCGTATGATTGGTAATCTTTGGGTTGTTGGGTCGAATTATTAAACGGAGCAACTGATTGATATGTACCATGGTCATTTTTATTATTGTCATCTTTGGTGTTTCTCTGGTGGTTGCGTCCGCTTACTATTTCTTTTTATATAAGATCCTGATAGACTTTACACCCTTTGTAACTAGCAGCATGATCTTCGTTGCAGTTGGCACATTTTGCTGGTTGCTCTTTATCTTTTGGGCAAACGTTGCTGGGATGGTTAAGATAGCATTTCACACATCTGTGAGTTTTGGCACAATAAATTCCTGGCAACGATAACACTGAACGACTTCTTTGGTTTTACGGGGTGGTTCTATATTAACAACTGCGTTACAAATGAGTTTAACTTTGTATATATCTAAGTTCTTATTGTTAGGCTCAATGCCTAAGTAGAACAAATTCAATGGCTCTTTGGTTACACGACTTTTAATATTACTTATGTTTCTAACAGCGTGACCTTTGGACTCCACATCTTGTTTGATTAAGTCGATATCCGTTGAGAAGTGCAAATTCTTAATAATAACTCTCTCATGTTTAAGTTGGCATGTGTGAAATTTGACAAAATCTTTAGTAAGAGTTTTAACAAGTTTCCTGTATTCTTCAATAGACTTTACCATAACTCTCACATGACCATCGTGTTGTACTTTATAAAAGAAAAGCTAGTTTTTAATTGTAGTCTCGAGGTAAACCAGCATTCCTTTTATATCACTGACTTCAGATAAGAATATAGGTGGAGGCTTGGCAGATTCATTCAAGTTATCTTCAGTTATCATGTCCAGTGCTTCGTTTTCGTCTTCATTTCCGTTATTTGGCGTGCTGTCGCTTAGGGGGGCATATTGATTGGAGCTGGTGCTAAGTCCAGAGCGATTTTTTTTCTTAGTAGAATAGGAGAGGCTTGGTTTTGTCTCTTGATTGCCTTCGCCTTCGATTTTACTCTCTGCCAGTTCCAAACCGTTGTGTCGTCTTCGTCGTCGTTCATGATAACAACAACACTTTGTTATTGCTTATCAGTAACCACTGTTTTGTTTGCTTTTTACGTTTCCGACCCCATAAAGTATATATATTCTTGATCAGAATCAATAGCCGAGTCGATAGAGCCATGTCTGTCTGTCCGTCCGTCTTGTTGAGCGCCTGGATCTCAGAGACTATAAAAGCTAGAGCCACCAAATTTTGCATCCAGACTTCTGTATGCTCACACTGTTACAAGTGTATTTAAAATATCAGCCCCGCTCCTTTCGCCACCGAAAAAGGTCGAAAACCTCACAAAGCTGCAATATTTGAAGATAAAATAAAACTAAACTAAAACATTGTGTAGGGAATGACCATATCTATCAGATCCCGGATTGATCCGATTGGATCATTATTATGCCAGAATGAAGAAATTAATTTGCAGTGACTAAACCCACCCCGTCCAGCAGCTTTTGTTGTTTTTTTCACATTCTCTCATTCACACTCTTCTGCAGTGTGCGGCCTCTGCCTCTGCCATGACTCTGCAGTGTGCGGCTCTAGAAAAGGGGGGCAAGATAAAGGAGCGTGTTGGCGTTAGAAGTGTTGTAGATGTACAAATTTGACAGATGAAGAAAAAATGTACAATTTGACAAAAAACCGCTAGTGTACAGATGTTGCACTGAATACCGGGTATAAAAGTTGTGACGCGTAAGAGGCGTCTCACACGTCCCTTTTCGTTTTATTTAAGAAATTCAAATTCGTGTAGAAAATGTCGCTCGTTTATTTTGCTAGCTGCCATTGTCTTGTGACTGCCTTGGCCTTGGATTAGGGTTTGGGATTTTCTTTCTTTTCTCTGTAAGTCCTGATTAGCATTTTCTAGATTAGTAATAGGGCCTGCCACATTGTCGGGGGAGCCCTCAGTGCTGCTAGACCTCGCCCCATCGAAACAAAAACGTAATTCTGTGGAAATTTGTGTGTCTGTGTGTGTTGGTGACTATTATGAATTGCCAAGTAATTGAATGGAAATACATTGTAGGGAAAAAAATGTGCCATAATACTTGTTTTCAAGGGGTCATATTTAAATTAATTAAAACGACATGGCTCTATCGACTCGGCTATTGATGCTGATCAAGAATATATATATATACTTTATGGAGTCGGAAACGTATCCTTCCGTGCGTTACATACATCCGGGTTTCCCCACAAATACAATATACCGTATTTACTCTTCGATTACCGGGTATAAAAAGCTACATTTCATAGACAAATTTCACTCACCTTTTCAAATGCAATTCGCTCTTTCCCACATACTTGCATTGGGACCTTTCGCACTTGTATGTGCCCTGTGAATGCGAGACCAAATGAGTGCGGAGACTCACCAGCGTAGCACCCGCAAATGTACAGTCCGCGACATGACAGGGATAGCTACGCTCCACATTCAGGGCATGGCTCTGCTCGTGATGCTTTTGGGAAATCCTACAAAATAAAGAGAATCAAAATTGGAAATGAAAATTGAAGTCTTTCCAATGTCTGTCACAGATTTGCATCACTTGTGTGTGGAGAGATGTCTGCGGTACGGCCTACGTTTTGTGGAGATCTGTCCTGTCCTTGTGCGGGTTTTTTCTTCTTTTGGAATTGGGAAATTTTTTAATTACATTAAATCAAAGCAAAAGTAATTCGCACCAAAGTCACGTTTCACTCCGACACGAGGCACGTTCAAATCCAACAAAAACCCTGGGCAAGAAACAGGCATGGACCATGGACCAGGCCTGTACTCCAATCCCCTTCCCCGTCTCCAGCTTTGGGGCCATGTTCACGTTTGTGTCCATCTAGTTCTAGTCAAAAGGACCCGCAAAATGCAAATGCAAACTCTCTCGTAGGCTAAAAACTTTTCTGCACATCAATTACGGATGCTAATTAATCGAAACAGCTGAGAACAGAACTGGCATTGGCGTTGGCGTTGGTGATGGAGGATTTTTTAAATTTTGGTGCGGGGGGGGGGGGGGGGGGGGGGGCTTAGGTGTGATGGCAACGTTGCGGTTAAAATGAGACATGACAAGTTTAATGAAGTGGGAAGTGTATACGTATGATGGGCTTTGAATTAAATTTGATTTTAAAATCAATTTTGTTATGGGAAAGTCTATTTGTAATAGTTTTAAAATCGCTTTAAGTGAATCAAAGTTGGAGTCAAATTTTAAGTGAGCTGCAGCGTTTGAGCTTGATGTTTTGCTATGATTACAAAGCACACAAAATATAAACAAAACTCTTCGATTTTCACTCTAATTATTCTCCTTGGCAAGACCTTTCCATGCGTTCTATAACTCTGAGCAACAAATGGGAAACTTTTGAATTTGAAAGTTCGCACAAGACCAAAATAATGTTGTAGTCCTGGATGTGTAGACCCAAATCCCAAATCTGTAATCTATAATCTAAAATCTATAACAATGTGACGCGTAAGAAGCGTCTCACAAATGTCTCTACTCGTTTTTTCAAGCTTTAGGACACATTCCTTGGTTCATTTTGACATTAGTATTTTCTTTCAGGGCTAATTAGCCCTTTTTACTTTATTTTATATTTTAGTGCCTAGTATTATTTGACTCTGTTTTTTTTTTCTTCTTTCTTATTGCTATTTGAGCATAATTTCTTTGATTTCGTATTGGGCTGAAACAACTGAAACAAAATGTAAGTTCAATTTTCTTATCAATTTCGTGTAGAAAAAAATATGTTCACCATTAAGCACAACTAATTTCCTTAGTCTTATTTTGGATTCAGGGAAGAAAAAGATTCTTCTTAATAATGCGCGACATTAACAAAGTTACGGCGGCGAGGCCAACAGCCATCCAGACAGCAGATTGGTAGTAAGTTGGGTGGGTGGATGGTGGGTGGGGCGTGAAGTTATATGAGGCTATGGGGCGTGGCTGTTCTTAAGGTACGAAAACATTGTCATGCATTGCTAATGATGCATCGCACAGGGTAAGAGAAGTGTGCGTCGTCTTCCTCGTCGTCGTTGATATGTGAAATGTCACTTTGTACGGAGTTTGAATAGGAACGACAACGAGACAACTCGAGACATAACAGGATGACATGAAGGGAAAAAGAAATAGAGAAACGAGAAGGAGCAAGTGCTTCCTCCTCCAAGATATTGCAAACTTGACAAAAGGATACCATTTCGCCTGCAGGAGTTTGTCGTAAATTGCTCTTGTTCTTCCTGCTGCTTCTCCGTCTTCTATTGCCGAAGGATCCACAGGAACAGCAGAAACCCCCCCGTAACCTAATGCTAAAAGAAAGCAAAGCGAATTAGATGCAACAACAATAACGGAACAACAACATCATTATCTCTCTATTTCGCAGCGCTTTTGCTTTTCCCTTAGTTGTATTTTCTCGTTCAAACATTAACTTTTATTTCATCAAATGCATTTCCCAGGCTCGGGCTTTCCGTAAGTTCTCCAGTTTTCTCTCTGGGCAATAACCGTGCGTCTCGCTAATACGTTTGTCTCTCTCTCTCTCTCTCTCGGTCTCTTCTCTGGATAGGGAAGGAGAAAGAAAGAGAGAGAGAATGTGAAATGTGTTCATGGGCTACGACCAGCGAACATTACCTGTAAATTAAACGGATTGAAATGATATCAGGCAGTAGGCAGTAGGAAGGAGGAAGGAGCAGCTGGAGAGTTGTAGCTAAATTGAGGCAACTGGCAGAAGCGCCAAACAAAAAATTATAAGTCATACCGTCATCGCCGTGGCAACAGATTCAGTTTAAAAAGATGGTTGAATAGTGGTGAAAACTCAGGAAAAGGCATTCAGAAGATAAGTGCAACGAGTAGGGACGTTTGTTAGACGCTTCGTTCACGTCATAACTTTTATACCCTGTACTCAGACGGGTGACAGACGGGGACAGACGGACGGACAGACAGACTGATACTGATTAACAATATATGAATGTATATCCTTTATAGGGTCGGAAACGTTTCCTTCTGCCTGTTACATTTTTCTACCACAAATACAATACCTATTTACCTATCCCTATTTACTCTTCGAGTACCGGGTATAAAAATGGCAAAACTTTCGCTAAAAGATTTCAAGGAGAATCGCAAAACACAAGAATATTATTTTTAGGAATAAGAAGAAGTCCTTGAAGGGGTCTTAAAAACTAAAGCAAAATTACCGATGCATCTAAGAATTCGAAGTATTATTTTCCATATCAAGGCTGATTCGACGAAGAGAAAACGAGAAGAAACGTGTGAAACGCTTCTTACGCGTCACAACTTTTACACCCTGCACTCAGTACTACATTTGTACTTTAGCGGTTTTTTGTCAAATTTTCACATTTTTTTCTTCATCTCTCATCTACATCTACAACACTTCTCAAGCCAACACGCTCATTTAGCTCGTCCCCCTTTCCTAGAGCCGCACACTGCAGAGTCCCTGCAGAGGCAGAGGAAAGCGAGAGGCAGAGGCCGTCCAGAAGCAGAGTGTGTATGAGAGAATGTAAAAAACAAATATAAGCTGCGGGACTGGTTGGGTTTGGCCACGGCTGAGGCAGAGGCAGAGGCAGAAGAACGGCAGGGGCAGAGGCCCGCGAAGCAGAGTGTGAATGAGAGAATGTGCAAAAAACAAATATAAGCTGCGGGACGGTTTAGCCACTGTAAATTAATTTCTTCATTGTGGCTATAATAATGATCCGATCGGATCCAAATTGGTGATCTGATAGATATGGCCATTCCCTACGGAATGGCGTTTTTAGTTTTATTTTATCTTCAAAATTCGATTTGTAGATCTGGGAGGTTATCTCCCTTTTACGGGGGCAGAAGGGGGCGGGTCTCATTTTTTAAATACACTTGTAACAGTGTGAAAATACAGAAGCCTGGATGCAAAATTTGGTGGCTCTAGCTCTTATAGTCTCTGAGATCGAGGCGCTCAACAAGACGGACGGACAGACGGACAGACAGACATGGCTCAATCGACTCGGCTATTGATGCTGATCAAGAATATATATACGTTATGGGGTCGGAAACATGCAACCGTTATTCGCACAAATAAAATATACCCTATTTACTCTCCGAGTACCGGGTATAAAAATGTTCGATTCACACTTTCTCCTCTATCTCTTAAAGATTACCCAATTAAAACGATAGCCAGTCAAAAGTCCTTCATTAATTTAATAATATTTAGCTTTTCCTCCTGCAACTCTGTTCATTCAGCAAGGTCACTCTCTAAACTCTTTTCCACACCAAAACCCAAGCCAGTTTAATACCAGATATATTCCCAAATAAGGATATTAACCACTTTCAGACCTCTACGCTTAAGACAATCACATAGCCAAAGGGGCTTCATTTCCCCAAGTATTTTGAATACAAAACGCGCACAGAATTTACATTGAGCTCCGCCTTCAACAGAGCATAAGGATCTACAGGATGGCAGAATGGCACCATGGCAGCTTTGTATCCGATTAGTTGACGAAAACGAAACGTTTGGAAGCGCCTTGCGATGAAAACTTTGCCCTTTGCAGAGCCAGTGGGGGGGTGGAGTGTGGCACCAAGGTTTAGCTGTCATCAAATACGCCGCCTCCGAAATGGGGCAGGGAAGAAGTTGCACTGGAGGCATCAACCCGTACAGCAGCAGACGCAGGCCCGGACGAAGCTGTTTGCTCTGTCCGGGACCAGGACCGTGTCCGGGTGTTGTGTCAACTTTTGCACGCCATCCATTAGAGGGATGCGCTCCGCTCTGCCATGCCTGGAGGAAGGGTCTCCTTCACCAAAGATGCTGAGCAAAGATGTCGGGTGCTGCGCGAAGCTGTGTGGCAGGTGCAAAATGTATCCTGCTGCTCATTGTCAGCTGCATGCAGTAGCAGGATGGAGCAGTGTGGAATGGTAGAAGGACTCCTGCCTGCCTGTCTGTGGATGTCTTAGACAATCGCATGTGTAGTTTTCGAGGAGTTTTTCGCCCTGTTGTTGTTCCCAAAACTCGCATAAATATTTATGACAGCGTCTTTCTTGTGTCTTGTGTGTCGCCCCGCGTTAGTCAACAGACAGACAGACAGACAGCTTCCGGTGTCATTCACAAGGATGTGTGTGTGCCCAGCTCCTTAACTACGCAACACTCAAGGATTCATGGCTAAAGATCCACACAGCTCCTTTAATTGGTTCGTAAGTCGTGGGTCTACACTTTCTGCAGGGTATTTATAACTTTTAGCAAGAGCTTTGCAGCGGATTTGGGAGAGCAGAAGGACTGATAAAAGTGACAGATGGATTATAATTTTATTGGAGAACTTTAATTGCAATCACCTGTGGGATCTCTTGTCAGACTAGTTTTTAATGGTAAAAGCAGTTCTGCCTCGACATAAACATTTGTACTTCTAAAATAAAGTCAGAACTAAATTATCTGCTCTACTTTTCGATCTGCCAGGGTATCAATCGCCTCGTTATCGTTCTGCTATATTTTTCCTACCACCACTCTTATCCTTTCATCACTTTAAGAGTTGT